GACGCCCGGGGCCCCAGGCTGGCCGCACCGCAGTCACCCCTGCCCCGCCAGGGCCCCCTCACCCCCGCCCCCCGGGCAGAGCCCAGACGTACCCGCACACCCCCCCCAGGGTGGTACCTGTTCCAGTTCCACCGAGTCCTGCAGTACGCGAGGCCCCGGCGGGGCAGCCAGCAGCCCTTCTTCTGGATGTTCGTGGACAATCTGGTGCTGACCGGAGGAGGACCGGGCCGTGGCCACTCGCTTCCTGGAGGTATGTGCGGGCCAGGGCCCGGGGTGCCAGCAGCCCCTTGGTGGGGGTGGCACCCCTTAGATCCCTGCCCCCGAGGCCTGAGTTTTCAGAGTTTGTGGGGAGCACGAGGGCCACCGCACCACTGAGCCCCCACCCCCACTCCCAAGGGTGCCTCCCGGCTGCGCTGGGTTCAGGACGCTGCCCCCGGGGCTCGTGTCCTTCCCCCTCCCCTCACGCCATCTGCGCACACGCCCTGTGCACTTTCACACCTCAGCACACACTGCGCGCCGTCACACACTCACACCCGTGTGCACACACGTCAGTCACGCTCACACCCCACAGCGCACAGTGCACAGGGCACTTGCACACACCACACACACGCACTCACACCCCTCCTGGGCCACCGACAGCCTTGCTGTTTCCTCCGGTCTGAGTCCTGACCATCAGAGCATTCACGTGTGAGCTCAGTGACCAGCCTGTTCAGGGATGACCAGGCCCGTCCTTGCCCGCTACCCCTCCCGACAAAGGGCAGCCCCAGCCCAGGTCCAGTGTCCCCTCCTCTTGGGACGGCTCCCCAAGTTCAAGGGTTCATAAACTGGTAGCCAAAGCCCACCGCCCCCACCTCCGCCACCCCCTCCGCCTCTGCCCTCAGGTCCTTGGCTTCCTCCAGGACGTCCTCTCAGGCGCCCGGGGCTGCCCGCGCCGCTGCCTTGCGGCTGGCTTTTTGCAATTAACATTTCCCTGGGAAATCCTCCCGTTACGAACGGCTCTTCCCTGTTCTTTGTTTTATTGCATCCGTCTTGCTTTGTGCGGTTTTACTTTGTGTGGAAAATGCATTGAACCTGCTCCCACTAACGGATAAGGGGGATGCTTCTAACCTGTTGCTCTTACAAAGGATACCCAGGGCAGGGGCGCGTGGGGGGACACCTGCGGGATGGAGCCTGGAGTGCAGGTGCAGGACCCAGGCGTGGTCCCCAGGGGTGCAGCGCGCTGCCCGGGAGGGTGTTCCCCGCGGCCCCTCCAGGCGCTGCACTGCGTTTCCCTTGCCCGCCCACAGGCGGCCCCCTCTCTGCGTTCCCTGGCCTTCTCCCAGACGCCGCAGGGTTCCTCCTCCCTCCTCTGCAGTGGGGGTTTCCCCTCTGTGTCAACTGGTTTTGATTTGTGCGTAAGAAACTATTGCTCCACCCACACTAGCCCGACTCGGCCGCCTTCCTGGGCTACTTCGTAGCCGGCAGGACCTGCAGATGGTCCAGTAGCCTGTCTAGGGAGGGGAGCAGATCGTCTGCCAACAGTGACTGTTTCTCCTTCTTTGTTTTGCACCTCGAATGTCTGTTTCTTGTCACACATTGCTGGTGCCTCTGGGACAAGGTTGAATCACAGGAGTGACGGGACATGCCTGTCTTGTTCCTGACATTCGTGGAAATGTTTCCAGTGTTTCCTCTACTAAGCTGATGCTGGCTCTCAGGTCGAAGTTGATACAGTCCACTGTGTTAAGGAAATTTCCAGAAGTTCTCCTGGACTTCCGCTTTTTGAGTTATTCTGTCGAGAGTAATTGCTGGATTCTGTCAAGTGTTCTTTTTTATGTCTGTGGAGGTAACGAGACTTCTTCTCTGGCTCTGTGACTGTGACCTCCTAGCAGATTCCCTAGGCACAACTGTCCCTGCTTCCTGGAAAACACCCTTAGTCACGGCACACGGTTGTGTTGCCGTACTGCTGACTCCCGGTGAACAGCAGTTCACGTGGGGTTTTTGCTCTGATAACAGGACAGAGGTGGGTATGTGAGGTTTCTTGTTTTGTTTCGTGCCGTGTTTTTTAGTTGAAGTGTTTTGTGCCTCCGCTACTGAGCTTGGGTGTCGGTGCCAGCGTGCTTCCCACGCGTGCCCGAGCCTTTGGCAGGACTCTCCCGGGACGTCGTCTGAGCTGGCTGTGGCTGCCGCTGTTCTCACGTGGGAGTAACTCCTCTGTGGAAACTAATCTATTAAGGTTTTCAGTCTTTTCTGAGGTCAGTTTGGTAAGTTATGCTTTCCCAGAATATAAGCCATTAAATTAAAGTTAACAAATCATTTCTATAGAGTTGGGCAAAGAGTCCTCATGATTCTCGTACTTTGATCCGCGTGTCTGTGGTTATTTCTCCTTTTTATGAAGCCTGGCAGTTTTAATACTGACACGTCGCCACATACCAGCAGTCAGGACCAGCTTTGTGAGGTGCACCATTTATCAAAAAATCTGTGACTAAGTGATCGTGAGTCCAGCCAAAACCTGGGCAGCAGTGATCAGCACACTTGCAGCACAGCAGATACTGGCTCCTGATGGTTTTGTGAGCACGTCTGGCAGATCAGAATGGGTCCCAAACCAGAAGTCGGCAAAAGAGAAGTTCCACCTGTCCTGTACCTGCTCCCACCTCGCTGTGGACTCGTTCCCGCTGATGGCAGGGAAACAGCGAGACGTGCCGATACAGGACCTGCCTCTTTCTGCTCTGCAGCTGGTGGTCCGTCCAGGTGTGAGCCTCCTCCCGGCCAGGCGTCAGGACACAGGAGGAGGCTGATGTGTCCAGGGCGGTCACGCTCGGGGACGGTTCAAGGAGGTGGAGTCCAGGCCACCTCAAGTTGAGTGTTGGCAGCTGGGTGGCCTCAGTTTCTCCTCCCTGCCCTCATCCTTTCCACAGCTCCCACCACTAGCCCTTCCTCCCCTGGCTGCCGGTGCTTTCCGGGGAGACGTGACCAGGACCCAGGTGCTCACTGGACTCCCCACGGTCCCTGTGAAGCACCAGCCCTTTAGGAAACCCTGCTCTCTGCCCACAGAGCCTCTCATCTCCCTGAGACGAGACTCCCCTGGTTCTAAGACCCAGGACTTCTCTGTCTTCACAGGAACCCACCTCCGCTCTGGAGCGAGTGGGGAGTCCCTGGGCCATGTGCCCTTGGGAATGAAATATCTACCAGTTAAAAGTCTTACAATACTATCTCAGCTTTTTTCCTCATGAGGTGATTTACTACAAAAACAGAGATGTGAGATGTCAGCCATGTGGACCAGAAGACAGTCCAGGGAGGCTGGGGCCCGTGTTCAGGGCTCAGAGATGGTGCCCATGGTGGCCGAGGCCTGTGGGTGCCGTGGGGGTGGAGGTAATGGTCCGGGTCCCCCAGTTCACCGCCAGCATTCTCATCCCTCAGACGGACCCCGTGACCATCCAGCACGTCCGAGGCAGGACCACCCAGAACGCCGTGCACGTGTGGAGCAACATCCCCGCCGTGAGGAGGTACTTCCTGGGCACTCGAGGCCCGGGGAGGCTTGGGTGGGGGGCTGACCAGCGCCGGGTTCACCGAGGTCAGAAGTCTGAGGGAATGGAGGGCTTTCCAGACAGAGCCTCTGCGTCCAGGTTGGGGGCTGTGTCTGGGGGCCTGTGGGGCCACCCCAAGAATTCTAGACAAGCTCTGGGTTGGGGTGCCCCCTTTCCACTTGGAGAACTTCTCCCTGCTTTCGCACTGCTGCCTCTGAGGTTCTCACCTCTGGACGAACTCCTGGACACGGGCCGCATGGCTCGGTGCCCCGGTCCTGGGACGCCCTCCCAAGCCACTAGAGCACCTGCCTCCCTGCACACTCACATTCACACACTCACATGCCCACACCCGCTCACACTCATCACACACACACACACACAGAGCACGCGCTCACACAAGCCTGTGTCCTCACGCTCGCCCCGCCGTGCACTTCTGGGCTGCGCCACTGAGCTGCTTCCAGCCCCTCACACATGCCTGCCCTGGGTCCTCACACACACGCACACACCCTTCTCTGCCTCCCGAGAATTCTCAAGACTGTTCATCCTCACGATCACCCCCTCCGCCTCACCGCCCCGAGCAGCCACCCCGCTGCTCCCCACGCTGGCCCTCCTGTCCTGTCTCTGCCATGCGCCGTCCCCCCAGAGCCCTTGGGCAGGTGGCCATCTTCTCCCCCAAACCCCACGTGTCTGGCCTTTGCCCTTGTGCTGAACCAACGTTGACTGCATCTTACAGGACAGTAAGTCGTGCGTTCTCCCGACAGGAAGTTTCTGGAAACTTCTTCTCGGCACCTCCTGATCCCAGCATTGTCCCGCTGGCGCTGTGTGTGGGGAGGGGGTGGCGGGAACGAGGTGGAGGAGGTTTCCAAAATGTGACCTTCTCAGGAGCCTTGAGAGTCACTCCGCCCCTTCCGCGCGGGGTCTCCCTGCCCCTCGCTCTCCCGCCCACTTCTCCCCCTTGGAGGAGGCGGGGCTGTTCCCAGAAGCGCAGCAGGTGCTTCCCTTCAGGCTCAGGCGTGAGGAGGGAGGCCCACCCTCCCTAGAAGCAGGGACTATTTTGCTGGCTGACCCCCGCCCGGTCCTCCCTTGGCCAGTGGAGCTGCCCCAGGGAGGCGGGCGGGGAGAGTGCCCGGAGGGGCACTGCCTGTTTCTGGTCCCTCGTCTGGCCTTCACTCCCCCAAAGTAAGCCAAGAAGTGTCCCCCAACTCCAGCGAGGTGCCTGGTGCCACGTCCAGGCGCCTTGAGTCCCAGGGTTGCATACCTGGCACGCGGGGCCCCTGCGGGTGTCCTCAGCACGGGTGCCCCAGGACCCACAGGCACGGGCTTGCTGGGCAGCACTGCCCTTGAACACAGCGGGCCTTGCCCACGGTCCCGCCTCCCTTCTCTGTGGGTTTGCTCCGGGGGGGCCTCGCCCCACTGAAAGCAGGACCCGCTGAGCTAAGCCAGTGGTCTGTCCTTGGGGACCCTCTGTGCCCTCTTCCTGTAGGGTGGGCTCCTCCCTGGGGAGGCGGGAGATGTGAGGACCCTGGTCACGCTTGTCTTTCCACCACCGGGGAAAAGACTCACAGAAGATGTGAGGTCTCCTACGGGCGTTCCCACCAGACAGCTCAGGTAGTCCAGTGAGACTGGCGCCCGCCCCTCTCCAGGGGCCCTCCCGCCCACCGTCCCGGCGCTCCCAGAGCCCGCGGGGTCCTCGGGTGGGCACTGAGCCCCTCTCTCCTTTGCAGCAGGCACTCGGCCCTGGTTTCCCAAGAGGAATTAGCCCTGCTGGCCCAGGACAGGCAGAGAGCGAAGCCCCCCGCCCAGAGGCCAGCTGCGCTGGTGAAGAATTGTTTTCTCCCCTTGAGAGAATATTTCAAGTATTTTTCAACAGAGCTCACTTCCTCTTTACAAATGAGTCATTATACTGTGAAAACAGCAACAAAAAAAGACTTTTCCTAGAACAAAGATAACTTTCCTTACACAGTCTCTTTTTTCCTTTTCAAATTACTATTTATTTGCTTAACTTTGGGTCTCCTGTGGTCGCTACAGCCCTACCGCCCCTTTGGGGGTGGCGCCACGGGCCTCCCGCCTGCCCTTCGGCGGAGGGGAGCCTCGGGTCTGACTGTGGACGAGACACTGATGTTACTTGGCATATTGTGCTGCTGAAAACGTTTCTGTGCCGCTGAGAAGTTAAAAGTACTTTGTTACGATAGTTGTGGTCCCTTTTGGTGTTCGTGTGTGTGAGCACAGCCTTTGTGTTATTCTGTGGGACATGGGAGCGTCTCTGGGAAAGACGGGCCAGGTGCCCTTACGACCACACGTGCTCCCTTGTGCACGAAGCCGATGTGGCCACGACTGCTGTTTGCTGTGACAGTTAAAACCACTCTCCCTGATTAGAGCCCCACGAAGCACCCCAACCTTTGCGAAGTGTGGGGTAGCGACTCGGTGCGAAGGGAGGGCAGGCTGAACCGGCGGCGCAGGGGCCAAGTGCAGACCACCTGCGACTTTCGGTCCTCCTTGACCCAGAGGGACTTGCTCACAGGAAGCAGGAAGCCCGCTCACCTGGGCTCCCTGGAGGACAGGCCACTGGAGAGCGCTGACTGGAGCTGGTTTCCAGTCACTTGTGATGAATCCCGGAGGGTCTTCCCAGATGAGTCAGGAAATCTCCCGAAGGGATCCAGACTCAGACGAGCGCACAGACTCCACTGTCCTGGCGTCCCCCTGGGAACTGGGGACCCTGTAACTGTCCTAGCACCGGTGCTAGTACGTGGAAGAAGGGTGGGGTTGAAATTGGACCTTCTGACGGTTTTAAAAAACATGTTTTGAAACAGAATAGAAATTGTGCTGGTTAATCTTCTGTGCCAGCTTGGCTAGGCCCAGGTGCCCAGACGTTTGCTGAAACATTATCGCTGCGTTTTCCGTGCAGGCATTTTTGGATTGGATTAATATTTAAATCAGTGGACTTTGAGTAAAGCGGATTACACCCTCCATAACGTGGGTGGGTGCTGTGGTCCGAACGTCTGGGTCCCAAAATTCATCTGCTGAAATCCTAACCTCCGAGGTGATGGTATCAGGAGAGGGGGTGTTGGAGAGGTGACTCCAAAACGGGCTTAGTGCCCTTCGAAAAGAGGTCCCCCGGGAGCTCCCTCAGCCCTGCCCACGTGAGGACACACGAGAAGCGTGTGACCAGGAAAGGGGCCCTCACCCGACCCCGCGGCACCTGACCGCCCACTGCCAGACCCGCCACCAGCCAGCAGTATGTTTCTGTTGTTTATCAACTGCAGGCGGGTACAGGGGGCCTCTCCCAAGCCACGGAAGGCCTAACCTCCCTTGAGCAAGAAAGAATTGTCTAGCAGACTGCGGTGGACTCCAAACACAACTCTCCCCCGGCCTCCGGGTGGCCAGCTCACCCTGCAGATTTGGGCTTATCAGGCCTCCGTTATCGCGAGTCATTCCTTGAAGTACAGTTCTCTCTTTTTCTCTGTCTACACACACTTACATCCTGTTGATTCTGTTTCTCGGGAGAGCCCTGGCTGACGCAGACGTCCTCATAGAATCCATGTGACCTTCTCTTGAGGGTGGACAGAGGACCATCCTGGGCTCTGATGTCACAGGTCTCCCATCCAGGGGCTAAAGTTCTGTAATGAAACTGAGGTCATGGCAGCCCCAGAAAACATAGAGGGGTGGTAGGGACAGGAGCATTGGAACATGGATGAGACCCTCCTAGGAGGCCACACTCTGGGTCCAAGCTGACCGCAAAGACGTGCTCGTGTCAGCAGCTGACGGGGCGGGGCATGGTGACGGCTGTGCCCTGGCGGCCTGGCTCCAGCTGCTGCTACCCAAGGTCGGCAGGGTCCACCCTCTGTCAGCCTGCTCCTATGCAGGGGCCCAGAGCCACCCCAGTGTTACATCTTCAGCACTCTCTCAAGCATTCTACAGTCTCCCTCTACTATTTTAATCTTACCCACAAGGGTCCTTTGTGAGCCCCTGTGGTTGGCTGAATAACGACCCCAGAAAGATGTCCCTGTCCTAAATCTCAGAACCGTGAATGTCACCTTACGTGGCAAAAAAAGGACTTGGCTGATGGGATGAGATGGAGACAGGGAGACTGGGCTGCACCATGTGTGACCTCGAAGGTCTTCATCAGGGGAGGCGGAGGGAGACCTGACCCCGTCCAGAGGAGACGGACTTGCTGCAAGCCAAGGGATGCCTGGGGCACGCGGGGCAGAAGAGGAAGGAAGGACCCTGGCCTGCAGCCCCTGGAGGAGCCCTGGTTCCAGGCATTCAGCCTCTGGGACTTGAGAGGATGTGTCTCTGTTGTTTTAAGCCCCAATTCTGTGGTGATGGGGTCTTCGCCTTGATAGTCACCCAGGTGGGCTTCTCCCCTACCCCTACAGCCTGAGAAACAGTCGCGGTGAGGGGGTAGGGGAGAGAGGAAAACCTTGCCTCAGCCACAGGGCGCCTCCAAGGGCCGTTCTGCCTGCTCCTTTGTCTTGAAAGCCCCTGTATTTGTAACCCAGACGCCAGTGTCAGTGTGAATGCTCTGTGTGCATTACCTCGTAGTAACCACAGACTAACTTAGCTGCTTTAGGAGGAAGATGTTGGAATTGTCCTCGATTCACAAATGGGAAAACAAAAGGCACAGAGGCGTTAAGTAACCTGCCTGTCATCACATGGCTCCTGAGGAGCGGAGCTGGGATCTGACCCAGCACGCACTTGCCAGCCTGAGGTTTCTGGGGCTGGTCTTGTGCCCAGTCTGGGAGCGGGTCCCTCCCCCACCGCCCCAGGATGTCCCAGTCCAGCCCAGCTGCATTCCCAACTACTTCCCTGCTTGCTCAACGAACAGCCGGTTCCTTGGGCCCACAGTCCCCACTCTTGGATGGGCCTGGCAGCAGCACTTGGCCCTCAGAGGACTGGGCCAGTACTGCTGCTCAGGAAACAGAGCCTGGCCCCTCCCCCAGAGCGCCCACCAGCTTGAGGGTGTTAACCCCTTGAAGCCCACCGCCCTCCCTTCCGTGCTACAGTGGGGCAGCGCCCCGGCTTCACTGAAGGGCAGCGCTCTGGACACCGACTGGTCACCGTCCCTTCCCCTTCCACATGAGCGGGCACACTCTCTGAAGGAGACTTTAACCGAGGGAGACTCCCCAGCCCCCAGGACTGTGCCTCTCCAATAACCCGAGGTTGCGTGTGAGGGCCACCCTTCCTGCTCCCCATCCCGGCGGGCAGAGTGGGGAGCCTCGTGGGAGCGGGGGTGGGGTGGGGCGCAACCCAGGCGTCAGCCAATCAGTGCAGCGCAGCCCTCCGCCTGTCCAATCAGAGAGAACCCGGGGTCCGCGGGAGGGACTGGACCCGGGAAGGCGGGGAGGGGGCGCCCCAGCACGCGCTTCCTCCTTGCCTGTGAGCAATGCGAGGGGCTGATCCTCCCGCAACGCAAACGCGGTCCTCCTCTGCCAGCTGTGGCCAACCGTGGGGGAGAGGATCTAAGGCCACCGATATCACTACCACCCCCTCCTCTAGCCCCCCGGCTCTAATACTTGCTAATTACATTCGTTCAAGGCAAGGCATTGGTTTTCTGGCTCTGGGAACGGGGAGCTTCCTGAGACCCGCTCTGTGATTTATGTCCACACCAGGCTCTCCTAGCCAAGTCTTCCTCCCGCTCCCCATCTCCCACCCCCTTTATCACGTCCCCTCTCCCCAAGTTGAGACTGTCTGTGCCCTCACTGGACACTCGAACAGGAGCCCTGGCCGGAAACCCCTGTCCCTCTCCACCCTGCCCCTCACTGAAAGGGAGAGCAGACCCCGCTTGGTCTCTTTGAATGCCCACTGCTCAATCCCCCAGCCTGACCGTGGAGGAGTGAATGAAGCCCCTGGGATCTAGAACTGCATGCCCACCTACCCCTCTGGTCACCTGCAGCCCCGCCCTTCCTGTTCACCACCCTCAAAAGCAACCCCAGCTCCCAGCTCATCCTTTCTGCTTCTTTGCCTTGTTTGTTCTTGTCCTCACAGAAATGTTCATTTCTACCAGGCAGAGATTCTCTTATTTTAACCTTTTATCCTTAGCGTTTTGCACAGGACACAGTAGGTGTGCATTAAATATTTGTTGAAAGAATGACAGCATGCAGGAGGTGGCTGGGGACAGGGGAGCTCCCCTTGGCTCTGCCCTTACTATACACCCTACCTCTCCCCCTCCCAAAGGCCGACCTCAGCATCCCCCTCAGCCTGGGCAGTGGGACACACCTCTCCTGCCTGCTCCACCGACAGGAGTCTCCGGACCTGAGGTGCGGCGTCCGGGAGCCCAGGCCCTTCCAGGGGCAGCCTTTGCATGGAGGGCACGCTATGTCCCCAGGGCTCCACCCTGTCACCTCACTGTCACCTACCTGGCGGTGTGGGAGGGGAGAAGGGCAGCCCTGACTGACTTGGGCCTCGCAGAGAGGAGGCCCAGTGGACTGGAAGGGGTGGGAGGGAGGAAGAGTATGGCACGTTTGCCCTTTGATCTGAGGCTCAGTGAAGCTTTTTCCAGGCCGGAAAACGAGAGTGCCAAGTCCCACAAGCTTGGAGGAGCACACTCCAACTGGTTTCCACGCGTGGGCTTCTTCGAGCCTTTAATACGCAAAAATGCTGCGGCGGGTGGCCCAGGACCCACAGGGGATGAGGGAGCAAAGGTGGGGGTGGAGATCCAGGGCTGGCTGGGAAGGGGAGCCGGCCTGCCCGCCTTCCCGCCTTCCTTTCTCACATCCATCCACCCCCGGACAGCCGTGGGGCTCTGGCCTCGCCGGGGGCCGGAGTCCTGGCGCCGGTCCGGGCCGGGAGGGAGAGCACTGAGCCCCGCCCCGCCTAGGGCAGAGACTCAGGACTTGGAGGCGGACAGGCGCAGGCGGAGCCGGGGCGCTCGGGGGCGCGGACGCCCTGCGGGACACTGAGGGGCAGCACGTAGCCTCCCACGGGCCCTCTCGCAGCACATCTGGCCGTCCCCCTCCCTAGGGCCTTTCCACGGCACCTACAGCCCGGTGGATCGGGAGCCCCCGCCCGCGCCCCTCAGGGCCCGACTGGCACCCTCTCGTGGGAAGGGCGGCGTCCTTTGGAGTCAGCGTCCAAGTTTCGGTTCCA